ATAATCAGTTGCAAAAGACGGCGCGGATCACCCACCCTGTATACTAAGGCACCAAGAAACTTGGACAAATATTCCTCTGCATGGGCCAAGAGCCAACTTACGCTGTCTAAAGGTTCAGATATTCTTCCCATGACCACTTCAATAATGAACATGCAGATTGGCGTTGGTGGTTGATTTGGGCCCTTGGGGAAACAAACAAGAGGTAACGGCCGTTTAAACACAGTCATCTGTGCATTAATGGTCGATGTACTAGATTTCTGTAAACAAAAGCAAAATTGAATGGGATACCACAGCACAAGAGTCACAATCTTCATAGTTCGATATCTGACATAAGCTATTCGAGTAAACCTGGGAACAAGAAGAATGTTGGGAAACTAACACTGTCAGTCTCCATGTTACAGCATACCCTATAGGAACCCAATAGGCCATCCACGTCGACACAATATGTTTCGCTGCGCCGGCAACTCCGTTCGGCAGGGGCCGGGCCTGCTAGGCCTGCCGGCGGCGACGCTCGGGCCTGCGGCCCGACCGTTTTTGCTAAATCTGCTGAAAAACATAATCAAATAATATAGCGGGCCTTCGGCCCGCTAAAACCCGTCGTCATTAAAATTTGCCCCTTAGACGCATGAGAAAGGAATGTAACGGTGACGCACCGTGACTAAAACCTACCCTTCTGCTCAGAAAAACTTCTTTTTTATAGGGGGGGGGGCTTCCTGTACAACTTAATGTTAACTACAGCAATTTTTAGCTTATTTTCGAAAAAAAAGACCCCCCAGCGCCCAAACGGTGAGAGATAGAGCCAAACGGACAAAATTTTAGCCCATAGGGTTCTACTTTCACGAGTTACCCCAGAGATCATGAAAAATATTGTTTTTTAACTTTTTTGACCTACCCTCTTTTCTTTGATACCCCGTTTCAGCCCCTTAAGGGTTGGTTGTCAGGATTTTCCGTAGGCGTTTCGTTTTCTAGGAGTGAACCTTAAGATACCCTGAAAATTTGAAGTCTCTAGCACATCTCCTTCTAGTGGAACAGACAGACAGACAGACAAACACGAGGTCGTTTGCATAAGCCCGCTGGATAGCTTTTTCAAAGCAGA